TTAAAACATAGCCTTCTTTTGCTTAATTTCCTAGTTTACATTTAGCAGACTGAAATCAAATAGAGAGATTCTAAATCTACTAAGAAGAAAAGAGTCATAACAAATGTGGGAGTCAGAGGAAGATGAATGGCGGGGATCCCTGTAGCATTGCAGGAATGCCACTAAGGCACAGAGGACAAGCCATAGAGCAAAGGGAACATCACTCACCTCTTGAGACAGAGTACAGTTCGAGCATGAGGTAACTGCTGAACCGTCATTTCAACCTGCTGTTCTGTTGCTTGCACTGATGTTATGAAAATGATTTCTTAAGTTATACAGCTGTGTTCTGAAAAAAACCCACATTTTTCCCTTTTCTCCTTTGTTCCTTTTTTTTTGTTTGTTTTGGTTTGGTTTTGTTATTGTTGTTGTGGCAGCATAGAGGGCATGGGATAGTTGTAGCAAATAAAGCATATGTTTGCTTTTGCCAAAGGTCAGTGATTGAGTGCATTTGCTGCAATGGTGGCAGATAGAGAAATACTGTAGGTTATGACTTAAAGAATTAAAAAAAAAAATTAAGAAGGTTACAGTGTAACTATTTTGGTACTAGCACCAGTTCATGCTGGCAGAAAAGACAATGGTTTATGGACTTGCATCCATTTTGTATTTTTGTAATATTTGTAAATATAAACTTTTTAAATTGTTGCAAATATGGTTTCTTTTGTAAAATGTTTTCAAAGTTTACATTAAATCCAAGCCTTTGTATATTTTAGAGCTGTGCAACACTTTAAGTCTTGTATTTATTTTTAGTAAAAACAGTGACAGTTTCATTGTGAACCCCTCTCAAAAAATGTGTTGGAAAAGTTTGATTACCTAGAAAGTGTGTATAGAATCTGCAAATAAACGTGACTGCAATTAAATCACACCTTCTCTTTACTTTCTTGTAATGAGATGTGAAGTCTAATCTACAGACGACAAGTATGCTATTTCCAAAGGTCACTCTCAGGGCTTTACACATTTCAGACCCATTTAATCATGTTTTCTCTTCAACTTAATTTTTTTCAAAAACTGTATAAGAGAAAATCTGTATCCAAACTGTCATGGACTTTAAGTGCCCACCAGTATATTTTTGCCAGACTATAAAGACTGATGAATTCGCCCCATGTCTTTTACAGGTAAGAAAAAGCTAAGAGAAAGAAAGCTGAGATGAAAAATGGTGGTAAGATCACTGCTTTATCTTCACCCAGGAAAGAAAACAAATTGTAACACTTCAGACTCAAGGTATAGGAAATCTAGTGACTGGACCCTATCAGATAAACGAAGCCTTGGGCAAAAGGCAGGCCATAGGTTATGAACACACACTTTGAAGTGCTAACACTACCTTATTTTAAAATGGTTCAGTTATCAGTAGGTTGAGAAGTCAGGACATGGAAGCCAAGTGCTTAAAACCACAGCCCCTGCGTGTCTCTATGAAAATGAAGGGAGATTAATATTCGCATCCTGGAAATTTGGTTTCAGTTGACATTTTGTAAGTTAGCCTTGGAACACTGTACTTGGTATTTAAAAAACACATATGAGAAAAAAAAAAAAGCTCAAATGCACAAGTCTGGTATCCTAGAGAGCATGGAAAAAAGAAGGGCTTTGGGGAATCCTGCTGGGCTAACTGCCATGATATTCTGCAATGACATGAGGATTGCCTCGATGATGTAGTAGCCTTAGAGATGCCTCCAAGTGGGATGCCTCCAGTTTGCACAACATTCATTTTAACCAAGTGATCAAGTAGTTAATGGTTATGTGGATCATTCCCTGTTGTCTTGTGTGCCTTTCCCAACCCAGAAAGGTAAGCAAGATCTGTAGGGAAAGCTTAGGCCATAGAGGCAGGTATAAGCCGTTTTACCTCTGCCCACTGTACACATGTAGTTTTTCATGCTCAGTGGAAGAGAAAATTAAACATTAGACAAAATATACCTGAGGCTTTTTATAAAACCAAGGTGTCAGGTCCCAAGAGGGTGATCCTGGGCTGCCTGCTCTGGGAGAGCAGCAAAATGTTGGGATCGTAGAGGATAGTCCTGGACTGCCTATTCTGAGGTATGTTTGGGATACCCTTGAGCTAAATTATGGTGAAATAACACCAAATGATCAATTAGAAAGTTTTATTTGTGGCAGCAATGATTTAAACCTTATGATATGTTGAATGGCCTGTGGCAATAACAATTTAAATATTTCTGAACAGCATGTGGCAACAGCGATTTCTGAACAGTCCATGGATTGAACTTTTCAGGAGAGGAATAATGGAATATACTAGGTTTCAAAGGGATTTCCCATACCTGTGGAGCAATTTATAATCTGTGGGCAATTAAACAATTTATTCATGGTTGGGTCTTGTATTTCTACTTTGCTCACATCCTATCATCAAGGTCAATTTCCATTAATAGTACTTGTCTCTGTGACCAAGCTGCCTTGTGGGGAGTAGCATATGGTTCAGATTTGAATTAATTTTTCCTGTTTTGTAGGGAATCAGGATGCACCATTTTGGATTCCACAGTATTCTGTTGTCTGTTTCAAAACAGTCACTCTAATAGTGGGTACCACCAATCAATCATTAAATAGTCTAAGTAAAACCTTTTATATGCCTGGTTACAATTTCCTTGATCTTTTCAAGGAAATCTCTATCATTAGGTTACAATAAATTTTTGCTCACAAATTATCCCATTCTTAGGCTACCCTGGCAGTAAAATGACTACTGTTGTCATATTGGACAGAGTTGGGTTTAGACAAGTAACTGAACCATCACTTCAGCACTTTTACCGTGCATTCTCCAACAGGCTGTGCTACTGCTTTAGCCTGAATGAGACCTGAAACTACTTCCACATGGACTACCATGCATTGTTTTCCTTCTGATTTCTTGAAAGGACTTGTAACCACTCTAGCGAAGGTTCCCATTTTTCTTCCTCCTCTCCTGCTGTTGCCATCACCATCAAGAAAGTTAAGGAATCCATCTGGTTATTTTCAGAATCACAGAATGGGTCAGGTTGGAAGGCACCACAGTGGGTCATTTGGTCCAACCTCGCTGCTCAAGGAGGGTCATCCTAGAGCACATGGCATCAGGATTGCACCCAGGTGGTTCCTGAAAATCTCCAGTGAAGGCAACTCCACAACCACTCTGGGCAATCTGTTCAGTGCATGGTCACCCACACATTGAAGTTCTTCCCTGTATTCAAGTGGAACTTCCTATACATCAGTTTCTGCCCATTGCCTTATGTCCTTGTGACTGGCACCACCGAGAAGAGCCTGGTTCCATTTTCTTGGCACGCCTCTTTAGATATTTATACACAATATTAAATAGGTGAGCTGGATTGCTTCCCTTCTGGTGGGCTGCACCCCATCCCACCAAGGCAGGCTTATGCTTACCGGTGTCAAAAATCTCTTCCCGTTTATCCTTTTGCCACGCTTGCACTTGAGTAACTCCCCCTGGTCCTGTTCCCAAAAGGGAAGCCATTCAGCACACCCTTTAAACGCCGCCTAAGGGCCTGTGTGGGTGTATAATGGACTCTTATTCCCTGCCTCTCCTTACCACGCTCCATCCCGCTGTTCCCTCTCCTGTGCTTTCCCGCCGGGCCAAGGCCCAAGCACTCCCCGACTAAGGGTTGTAATCCTGTAGGGCCCGTGGCGTTCTCCATCAGAGAGTGTTGTGGCAGGATCCGCAGGCATCAGCAGAAGGCATCCACTTTCTGCACGCTTTCCAGGATCCGTGGGCGTTTGAATGGAAAAGGGCCCCCCCTTTCCACAGGGTCTAATCCTCCTGCCCAGGCCTCACTCAGTAAGATACGGCCTCCTCCGACGAGGGACACTCTCCACACACATTCAATTTCAGTTTCCCGGGCCCAGGAGTATTTTAACCAAATTCGTAGGGATTAAGGGATGGGGTGTGTGGTGACCCACTGAGCTCCTCCCAGGCCATTATCTCCCTTTTAATCAGGGGCTGCATTATGGCCCCCTCCTCATATAATTTCTTCATATTTGTAAATCATCAAAGGGATATGCTGACTCAGGCACCCTACCGTCCTTACCAATGAAGAAATGAGGCCTCTCCAACTGCTCACATAGTACTTTTTTCCTTTCTAATGATTCCACCAAGGCAGCAGTCTGATTAGTTATCCATTCAGCAGCTCTGTGCCTCTTTCCTAGTTCTTCATGTAAAACTCTAACCAAGTCTTGCAACAACTCAGTCACTTAATTGATAGCTAAACAATTTAACACAAGATTACATAGAATTTACTACAGCAAAGCAGTAACTCACAGGCCTCACTTACTTACAAATCTAAAGTACTTAAGAATCTCAGAGAGGAAAATTCACAGTACATTTGCTTTAGAATATTCACACTCAGCTAAAGAGTATGTACAAGGGATATACTTGTGAATATATACCACCACAGGTCAGGCTTTCTCACTCTTTCTGAAAATATGTTCTGCATTCAAATGCATTAATAGCTGACTCCTTTCCCTATAACAACCTCCCACCTGCCTCCACTTCCTTCAGTTTTCTTTTCAAAACCTGCGTTCTAGATGATTAGTAAGCCACTGAAACCATATTGGTAGAAATATAGAGGAATGCCTACCAGTTTATATTTTCAAGGCAAAACTTCATAAAACAGCATGCTGTAACTCAGAACAGAGGTGTTACGGCCTTTAGCGTGTCAGATCACTCCTTTTAATTTAGCTTCACTTTCTAAAGACTGTACACTCCTCTTAGACCCACTTTAAATGCCTTTCTTCTCTTAGTTCCTCCAAATACCGCTGCCCCACAGGACTACGGAAATCAGGAGGACTGCTGCGGGAACGGGCGAACGGACGGACTGACGGGCTGCTGTGCGGGAGCGGGCGGACAGACGGACCGGGTGCTGTGTGGACTGGGTGTGGAAGGAGGGTCGTAGCGGACGAATTGAGTATCGGCAGGCGGCCGGACAGACCGCATCCTGCCCTGACACCGTGCCTATGGAGAGAAAGGGCGATGGCGGCGCCGCCCCCGCGCTCCCGTTTGCCGGGCGCGCCCCCGCGCGCAGCCGCACTGCCCCAAAACACTTCGTCGCTCACGTCGGAGGAGCCGCTTCCGTTTCCAACGCCGCATTCCGGCCACACCTGTCCCTGCCCGTGCCCGGCTCGCTGCGCCGCCCGACCCGCTCGGAGGAGGACCCCGCGCCCTGCCGCCCCGTCAGGCCATGTCCGAGGAGGGTAAGGCCCCGGGCGGCCGTTCGCCCCGCCGCTCGAGGCGGGCGGGACGCGGCACCGCCGGGGTGCGGGGGACGCGCCCCCGTCGTTCGCAGCGGCCCCAACGCCGCTGCCGAGCCGGCCGGGCCACGCCCACCGCGCCCGTCGCGATTCGCCCGTTCCCGCGCGCCGAGCGCGGCCATTGGCTGCCGCTCCTGCCCGTCGCCGCCGCGTCAGGGCCGGCGGGGGCGCGCGGCCGCGGGAGCCGCTGGGCGGAGGGGCCCGGGCGCGCCCCCGCGGGGCCCCTGGAGATAGGGGGGACCCCGGGGACCCGCAGGGAGGTTGGCGCTCGGGAGCAGGATGGCTCAGCCACAGTTTGGCTGCCTCGCGGTGTAGGTCCGTTTCAGTGTCGGGGATGGTGGTGGTTGGGGGAAGGTTTATCTTTCCTCAGTCTCCAGGAGGCTGGTGAACGTAGTGGCAAAATTCTGGGGAGACTTCGCAGTGGAATAGCGGAGTGTCAGCCCTGGGAGGTTCTCCCAGCGCTGCAGTTACTCGGGAAAAAAACCTTGGTACGGCAGAGAGGAGTGATGACCCGAAAGTGAAAGGCCTGACCTAATGAGCTTCCCGTTGGAAGACAATGCTCAGTGCAACTTAAGTGCCTTAGAGGAGTGTATGTTTCCTGTACTTTGCATCGAAACAGGTCAGTTTCTGTTAGTTAAATGCTGCACCTCGCCTTTCCCAGCAGTGATGTGTACACAGACTCACGTCAGCTTAAGCTCATTTAGCTTGTGGTTGCTGTCACGGGCCTACCCACTACAGAAGTTCCAATTGTTCTTGCTCAGATGCCCAATTTCCTTGTGTAACTTCATGGTTCAAGGAGCTTTTCTGACTAAGAAATGGCCAGTTCACTGTGCAGTTATGCAAGTGCCACCATGAAGTAGAGGGGTAGGTCTGAGATGTAGGAGGGTGGGAGCATAGCAATCCTGATACACTTCTGGTTAAACAAACATGCGTTTGTTGATCCTTCCCTTTTGTCCTCAACTCTTTGGTGTTCTGACTGGCTTTGTTTTAAATTCAATAATCTGTAGTAATTCTTGGCAATAAAAAAGATGCGTCATTAATACTTTTTTTCAGTCAGCAGTTGCAGTATGAGCTCAGATCTTGTTAAACAGCAGAGGTCTCTCTGAGAGAGTTGTTTTACCTTGAGTTTTGGTGGTTTTGGTGGTTTTGGCATTACAGTAATCCAAATAGGGAGCC